GCCATTTGCGCCCAGAAACGACTTATGTTGGACCGCCTTAACCACCATTCATTGCAGGAATGAGGGAAACCTCATTAATTAGGGGGGTGGTCAAATGCCAACCGGTGTCAATCTCTCACATTGACCCAAGCCAACATTCTTCCACCCTACCATACCTGCACAGAGGGTGCCAATCCTCCGTACAAGCATAGCTAATCTACGGTCTACCGGCCGCGGGATTCGAAACCCGGGCAGATAGCACACATCGATTTAAGTACTGACGCCTTAAACCGTGCGGATATCGACCATATGTTGTGTAAAGTATTTTAATTACATGATAATTTGAGAAATCACGTGTACATCGTACAATAAAACCAAATGATTTTAATGTCTCAGAAATAACAGTATTTAAGTGATGTGAAAAATATAGTTTTGTGTCAAATAGGACACCTAGTTCCCTAAACATATCTACTCTAGAAATACGATTGCCGTTCAGTGAATAGTGATATGCAGTTGGCGTCTTTTTTTTTAGTAAATGGCATACTATTGTATTTTTTAATGTTTAATTGAAGCCCGTTTGATATACACCATTCCCCAATCACCTCCAGATTTTTTTGAAGTTCAATACAGTCCTGTATACATTCGACTCTTTTATACAATTTTACGTCGTCAGCGTATAACAAAAATTTTGCATTGAGTTTATGACCTATGTCATTAATAAAAATACTGAATAGCAGTGGACCTAACACGGAACCTTGTGGCACGCCTGATACTGCAACATATCGAGTTGATTTAAAGCCACGAATTTCAACATATTGAGTACGACAATTGAGATAATACGTAAACAACGCAATTAAGTCATTAAAGAGACCAAAATGTGAAAGCTTATTGAGCAAAAGATGGTGATCTAAGCGGTCGAATGCTTTAGTGAAATCAAGATATTATATAACATCAGTTTGATGACCATTATCTATTGATTCAGCAATGTCTTGTGTAGCAATCATGAGATTCAAAAAATCGCCATATCTTAAAGACCCAAAGAGATGATATACGAGCACTACTAAGTTAGTACCCACTAGAATTATTTCTTTATAGTTTCCGATTGCTCACCCGGTATGTGCTCCAAAAAAACCTTAATCTGCATTTGAAACTTTGTTTAATTTTTCACTTTTTGACATAATACCTGTATGTTACTTATTACTTTTACCTTCATTGTAAATATTTTAATAAGAATACACTCGCTATCGGGCTTAGTATCGACATATCGGCGCATGACAATTAACGAACTGCAGGCTTTTCTTTTGACACAAACATAAGACACGTAAATAAGACATTCGTAATTACTAAAATTCGAGCTAAAATTTAAGCACAACACTATCTTTGTACTACAAAATCGATAGACTTTATTTTATTTATTTAAAAACTGGATAACAATTGTCTTGAAATTTATTAAATGTTTCCCAATAATAGCTGTTTACATTTTTTCCGTAGAACAAGTCTGCCGCGTGTACACGTGGTTTGTATCAGTAGGTTAAGCGCTGTTGTCACGTTGTGATGAAACTCCCCAGTATAAATATTCGCCGTATTTTGAAAACCGTTAATCTTACGACCCTGTAATTTACAACTTTTTTGTTCGTTTATGATTACTCTATCTCATGCTGAAGTAATGAACTTCTTGCAGCCTGTATATTCACTCTTCGGTGCAAATGTTACTTTTGTGTTTTCGAAAAAATACGTTTGCATTTGTTCCAACACATCTTTGAAAAACCTGCCAAGATTATTATTATTATGTAAAGATCTTATTTCATACCTAGCAGCAGCATTTTATTTTATTTTTTTTTTTTTCATTTCAGGGTCTAAACTTGTTTCTTCCAAATGACAAAAAAAAATTGAATTTTTCTATTATCGAGGTGACTAAAAATCGTGTCCCACGCATACCATCTTTTATGACTGGTTAGAAGATTTCAGAAGTCGGAATTGGCTATCAGTTCATTGAACTATCACCGTCAGTTTTATAAAGGAATACCCTGTAGAGCTTTAAGTGTCGAATTAAGAGACAATCTGTATAATATGAAAACATCTAATACAGACACTGAACAACATTCATTTTTTATTTCTTTACTACAATAATTCTTAGAATATTAATTTATGAAAAACTATAAACCTGGATTACTACCTTCTAGGAAGTAATGTCTGAACTCGGCCCTGTGCAAAATTACGCCGGAGTATCCGCCACGCCACCTAAAGTAAGCACCAAGCGCTTTTCTGACCCCGATAGCCGTATCGAAAATTCGTTCATTATTGCAATTTTCGTCTGGCTAAAGCTAACCTTAATATTAGAAGCGACACATTCTTTACGAGTATACTTACACGAAATTCATAAATCAAACCTTGAAAATCTGGGGTAAAGAGGGTCATTTATATACCTTCTAATATAACCGAAAATTAATATGGAAAAAAAAATTAAAAATAAGTACCTGCCTATTGACATAAAAAACTAATATTTTTTATATTATTTATTTGTGGTAATACGTAGCAATAGTATAATAAATAGTACTATCTATAAACAGTATGTTCATATTCTTATGTGATTTAAAAACTTGTCGCGAGGAAGTTAACGAAATTTTGCGACAAGCTTTTTTAAATCGCATTTATTATACTTTTGCTGATAACACTTCTATACAGGGTGTCCCGAAATTCATGCAACAAAATTTGGTTACAGATTCTTAAGACAAATTTAGGGGACCCGTATTTTTTATTTTTGCCAAGCCCTAAGAATAATCTTTTTTTTATATCTCAGAACAATGTACGAGAATCACTAAATTTGGTACACAGGGGTTTTATGACATGTGGAATCTGATGGTGGTACGTTTTTTGGCGGGGAACCCCCTTAAGACAATTTTTCGTAGGCCCCTTTATCTTTGGAGCCAAACAAATTTGGTCGCATATTTAAATTTCTTAAAAATTATCAGTCCACTAGAAAGCCATTAAATTTAGAAACTTTTTGTCTCTTTATACTTTTTTCGTAAAACGCAATGTTTTCGAGAAAAATGTCAAAATGTGATCGAGTGCATATCGTGATTCGCCATTTTCTTCAAAAACATTGCGTTTTACGAAACAAATATCAAGAGACAAAAAAGTTTCTAAATTCAATGGCTTTCTAGCTAACTAATAATTTAAAAAAAAAACAAATTTGCGACCAAATTTTTCTGGTTCCAAAGACAAGGGGGCCCACGAAAAAATGTCTTTCTCGCCAAAAAGCGTAGCACTGTGAGATTCCACATGTCATAAAACCCCTGTGTACCAAATTTAGTGTTTTTCGTACATGGTTTTGAGATATAAAAAAGACTTGTTAGGGGCAGATTTCAGGGAGCTGTAACTCCGAAAGAGGGAGCCAGTTGACAAAAAGAAACAATACGAGTCCCCTAAATTTGTCTTAAGAATCTATGACCAAATTTTGTTGCATGAATTTCGGGACACTCTGTAGAGCAGCCATATTCAACCCCTTCGTGGGCTTGAGGCTTACACATTATGGGTTTTATGAACACCTTGGTTTATTTTTTTCTTTTTAGTGCATTTTAATAAAAGCTTATTTTTAAAATATTTTTTTTACATTTCATTTATTTACATCTTTTTAGTTAGAAATATTTCTCAACTTATAAGGTCAAGGTCAAAACAAGCAACAATAGTATTTTTTTTACGATTCCTATGAGCATTATGATTCTTCAGTGACTGATCACTTACTTAATTCAAATTTTATTAAAAAAATATCAATTTTTACTAAAGTCGGTAATAAGGAAATTACATTTTTAGGATAGGTATAATAAAAACGCCAATTCATAAAAAAGTTTATTGAAAATAAATGGAAAACATCTAAGAATGTTTTGTAAAATTTATATTATTCCCAGAATATATTCTTAATATACAGTAAAACCGGCCACCTTTTGCAGTCTTCTCTAAAAACTGAGATTTAGAATTACCCAAACTAATGATTCATTATTCAACTAATGTTCCTCATAGACTATTAAATCTATAAAACGGTAACAGTCCCTTTGACATTTTTTACCTCTCCTACCGATAAATTGGTTTGGTATATAGGTACCTACTTAAAATATTTCCACCCTTACTAAATACGTAAAATTTTATAATGCAACAATTATTGAATAGTACTTCAAAGAGATACAGGGTGTTTATTAAGTACTTGTACAAACTTTAAAGGGTGAATCTTTAACTAATTTTAAGATAAAAAGTTCATATCAACATGGGTCCGCAACGGCTTGGTTCTTGATACAGAGCGTTTTAAAAAAAATTATTTTAGCAATTATTGTAAATGTTATTAACTTATTTGTAGAAGTATAGTTTAGTCTTAGCCTTGTAAATGATCTAAGTTTGTGACATTACAATATAATCAATAAAAGACACATTTTTCACTTGTTTCTCAAAGACTCTTAATCTTAAACTTTGACAAAGATTATTTCAAAATTCCAACGCCGTTTCAACTTTAAAACCCGTTTTTTACAAAACGGCTGCTTTCAGCGACAAATACTAAGAGCACCTTTTGTACGTAAAATTGAATGGAGAATGTTTAGTCAAAAATGACATACAGTGCAACAAAAAAAAAAGTTATGATCATTTAAAACCAGGTACAACACTGTACATGCGCCCTCTAACATTAAACAAAAAAACTAAGTAAATATTTGAGTTTCTCATCATCAATACTCCCAGTTTCCCATATTTCGTCAAATTGTCATGTTATTGAACAAAAATATAATCAAAATACCTAAAAAAATTTTTTTGGACGTTCTGTATCTCAAGAACCAAGCTGTTGACGACCCAGGTTCATATGAACTTTTTTTCTTAAAATTAGTCAAAGATTCACTCCTTACTATTTGTACAAGTACTTAAACACTCTGTATAGGGTAATAAAAAGCTCATTACTATTCAAAACCCTAACCGGTAGAGAAGTTTTCCTAGGTCGACTAGGTCGAGTTTATGTTCAACTGTGCTTTTGTTACAATAGTCATGTAGCAAACAAAAATTGTGTTTTAAAGACAAAATTGATATTATGGAAAGTGAAAAGCTTAGAGCTAGAAAGTTACCTTTTGTGTTGGAAGGACAAGTTAACGAAAAAAATCCAACTTAAAGACGTTATTTGAAGAAGCAGAGCAAAAGAGACAAATTCCCAAAATTGAACGATAGGTGAAAGACCAATTGGTTTACAATTGATTGAAATTAAAAGGGACCGCGATTATTTTGTTGGATGGTGAAAGATGTGGGTCAAATTATTCCATGAACCTAATAATATAATAAACAGCATATTATATCTCTAGATATAAGACATAAGCAAACAAAAAAACTGTCAAAGTAACTAAAACGAAAAGTCAAAAAAGTTCAGAAGACGAAACAGACAGATTTTCGAAAAGTTAACAATTTCACGATATAAAGTGGTGTTTTTGTATTTGTCTGCTTTTTTCAGTGTGAGATTTTTTGGTTAGCAAGACTATTTCCATAAAAATAACCTTTGACTGATGATGCCAAGATCACTAACTTAAAAAGTGTTTTTCCCATGTGGCAAACCGGCTTAACTTTCTCCTGTATTACATGTAGGTATGTATAATAAGCCTAGAAAATTATGCTGCTATTGATTGCAATGTTTTGACAAAAATCCTAGTTTTGGTGTTCAAGAAATGATTAGTAAATTAAATGATGTCATTTTGATTCAAACAGTGAAAATGATGTAGAAGAATCTGGAACATGAGATATTACAGATATGGCGAAGTGTATGCAAAACTAAGGGATGCTCATAGTTTCCTATTGTTAAAATTTTAGCAAAATGTGAAGCTCAGGTTTTCATTTAATAAAGAAAACAGAAAAGTTATATTTTTTTATTTATTTTTCTCTCTCAATAACGGCATCCTCCATGTAACGGAAATTCTTACAATAATTTTTTGTGGTCAGTATTTAAGGGTTTTACTATACCTATTCATCATTATTCATTTTTTTCTTTTTTGATTTTTACATGTTTAGTTTTGATTTGACAACCGTCGTCATTCGTCGGGTACTTAGAACTCTTTTTGTCATTGTCATCTGTTTCTATTGAGTTATTTTCATCAGTATGTATGTTTCTCTTCTTTTTTTTCTTAACGTCTTGTTCAACTTTGGAAATAGAGATAATATCATCACTTCCAACACTTTCGGAAATATCTTCGATGTGTTTCTTCTTCTTCTTTTTCTTACTCTTTCCAGACTCAGAAACTTCTTCTTTTATAAATTCTGTATCTTGTACCATATCCTCTTTTATAACGATTTCAAAATGTTTGTTAGAAACATGAGTTTTGCTTTTATTTGCTTTTTTGGTATCATTTGTTTCAGGTTCGGAACAATTATTAGCCATATCCTCATTAGTACTATTATTCTTCTTTTTCTTTTTCTTTTTCTTCTTTGCACAGCTGATATTCTCAAAAATTTCACTTGATTCCTCTTTAATGTTATTGGAAACATTTTCTACCGCATTGTATTTATTATCATTTCCAAACAGTTGGTCACAATCCGTTCTTTCTATATTATCCTCAAAATTATCTTTATTTTCCGCAAATTGTTGTTGCCGACGTTTTCTTTTCTCTTGATTTTGCACATGTTTCTTAAAATTATAAATCTTCGTATTAAAAAATTGATTCTCCTCACCTTCCTCTAGCTTTTCAAAGACAGCTACGAAGAAACCATTAGTGAAATCTTCATTCGTCTTTGCGTACAAACAGTAACTGCCAATGTCTCCATATTCGGCAGAGCCAAAATTCTTCCAGGTGTTATTTACAAATTTTGTGGCCGGCACTAGTTTGTACGCCGAATTTGTTTCTAACACCTGACGAACCACGTCTTCGTTTTCTTCTGGAAATACTGAGCAAGTGGAATAAACGACCCGTTTGGCGTTTGGATAACGCGTTAAGGCATTTCGGAGAATTTTTATTTGAAATCCAGCCAGTTTTTCTATCCTTTGGTTGCTTTTGGTCTGTTCAAATCCAAATCGGTCGGTTATACCTTTAAATCAAAATAAAAATTACCGTTTTAGAAATCAGTGTCTAGCCAGGGTTAAACAGTAAAATAGCTTAGAAGAAACCGAATAAAATTGAGGTTGTCTATATTATTGGTAGATTTCACATTAGACTCGGGAGTACTTTTGAATACCTACAATGTTTTTTATTTGAACATTTTTAAATAGGTGTGATAAAATTTTAAAAAACCACAATCTTATATTTTCTAAACTAAGGAAGATATTTGAACTAAATTTGCCCAGACAACTATTAGCGGAGATACCGGATACCGGATACCGTTAATTAATTTAATTAAAAATAGTAATACAGGCCCATATAATATAAAAATTATTCGTATTTTATCAAGATGTTTTCAATTTTAAACGAAAAATGTCTCTATACTTTTTTCATATTTGATTATATCTATCACATGTTCATAACAATATTGTTGGAATATACGAGGTATGTTCTGAAAATAACCAAACTTTTTAAATTATGCGCTAATGGAGATATTTAGTGATTTGCGGTTGGCGGCATCACGTTGGGCATAACCTACTCTGCAACCACATGTTCTTGCATTGTTGATATCTCATCTAGTTTTCGTGATATTTAGTGCAACGCGTCTAAGTGTTAGTGGCGATTTTTGAAATGTGCGATTCTCTGGAACAATGATGCAACGTAAAATTTGTGTCGAACTGGGGAAAACTTTTACGGAAACGTTTCATCTTTTGAAACAAGCTAACGAAGATGATGCTCTGGGTCGTACGCAATGTTATGAATAGTTTTCACGATTTAACAGTGGTCAATTCAAGATAATTCTCGACCAGAAAGGCCTTCGACTTCAACTGATGACTCTCACGATCAGAAAATCAAATATCTGGTGTGTACAAATCGCTGATTGACTGTCAGTGAAGTTGCAGAAGAGGTTAGCATCTCAATTGGGTCATGCCATGACATTTTGACTGAAAAAATTGAACATGCAACGAGTTGCAGCAAAATTTGTTCCTCTTTTAATTACCGAACAATAGAAAGGAAATCATGTGGATGTTTGTCGGCAACTGCTTGAACAAACCAATGATGATGAGACATTCATTCAAAGGATCATAACCGGAGACGAAAGCTGGGTTTACGGCTACAACATCGAGACAAAAGTTCCATCATCACAAAGGATCTCCACGCCACATGAAAGCACGTCAGTCTCGATCCAATGTCAAAGTGATGCTCATTGTTTTTTATTCGACTTTAATGAAATTGTGCATTTTGAAATATTGCCTCAAGTGAACCGTATGTACTATCACGGCGTTTTACAACGGTTACGTGATGATCCGCAAAAAGGTACCAAATCAGTGCGCAGAATCAGGACGCCGTTTTCAAATTATAGATGATATGAAAGCAAATTCCTTACGGAGTGTGTGAAGGGCTAATAATGTATAAAATTAGTAATAAAGTTTAAAAAAACAAAATTCAGTTACCTACTTGCTGAACAGACCTCGTATGACGTCAAACAAATTTTTTTAATCGATTTTTGAAAGGCGTATTAGGAAAATAACGATATTTTTTGGAAATATATTCATATGGAAAACCCTTTCAATTTTCAAAAGAACTATAACATATTTGAGTCCAACGTTAAGTCTAATACGTCATATCCACCATCTCGAAATGCATTGTGTAACCAATAAAATATTTTTTTTAATTTCAAAAAATAAAGAATTTAATAAAACTACTGACCTGAACCAGAGCAACTTGGATCCACAAGTATGTACTGAACATCAGGAAAGTCTTTTTCGGTACAAGTCAAAACGTCTTTGTTTACAGTTGTTATACAAGTAGCTCCCGACGTTTGGACTATTCTATTTAATGTCTCGAAACGTCTGGGATCTCTTTCGACGGCGTAGACCTTGCCTTTGTTATTCATTGCCGCTGCTACTTGCGTAGTTTTCATACCCGGGGCAGAACACATATCCAGGACGATGCTACCCGGTGGTGGGTCCAAAATGTGAACCGGAAGACAACTGGCCTTTAAAGAAAAAAAAACTATTTGGTTGGAAGTTTTGTTAAAATTTACAGCGAGAATAAAATATGACGAAAAAAATTATACAATTTAAAGGATAATTTACAGATACGTAAAATGTATAAAAATATCTCCCAGAAGTGACATCAGTATTTATATCTGGTTTTATATTTCCCCATAATACAGGTACTAAGTATAATAACTGAAATTCAATCCGTCTAAGCGAAAAGAAATTAAATTTTAATATTTGTATATTTTAAACTTTACCAGCACTGTGGAATTTTTCCCGCCAGGAAACATTATTTCGGTCGGTGTTATTTAAATTACAATTTAATTAAATAAGAATACACAGTGACATTTAAAAACTTCTTACCTTGTCTTGTAAAACAATAGATCCATTTTTATATGCTGGATGGTTGTAAAACTGGGTTTTCGGTGGAAAAATTAATAAATTGGGAATATGGATATCGATCAAAAACTCCTCATCGCCTAACGATGTGATCTTGTCTAGAAAACCCCTGTAATCGGTTTTGTCCATAAATTTACTCAGAGCCCAGCCCTCATCTCTAAAACCATCTACTGCTTCATTTAAGCTCATGTACAATGTGTTAACCCTGACATAGCGTGGTTTGGAGTCCTCTAAAATAATTAAAAATAAACGTAATGGGAAAGTAGTATGTCCTGTGTATTTGTACATGCAATTTCCTTTACCAAGTTGAGGATATGACGTTGCAATTTCAAACAAAAAAGTGCCTTGGAGTTGTTCTTGGCAATAGCATGGAATATTTTTGCATGCCTTCCTAGTCTTACTAGGCTAAATTAAACTGCTTATTTTCAAAGTCATGAATTGAACATTCCACTGCAGCCACAACTGATAAGGATCTACGAAAATTGTCTTTATACTTTGGAAAATAAAAATAACATGAATTTGTTGAATATGTCAAGGGCAGCCTAAAGCTGCAAAAAGGAGCTGTAAATAAACAGCTAGTTAAATGTTTTAATGTTTTACAATAATAACTGTCTGATAAATAGAAAGCTAATATTTTCCTTAAGAATAATTAACCTAAATCCTCAATTTTTGCAGGGTTTGCGATTTTTATGCAGGTGAGAGAACTATCGACTTCTACTCAGGAAAATTACTTGTGCATACAATGATCTACCTAATCTAATTGATCAGGTGATTCTAGATCCAATTATAATAACTGAACATAATTAAATTTGTCAAAATGACGGAACAAATTCTATATTTATTCTATATCTATTCATAATAATATGTGGGTATTATAAATTACACCCTTATAGTCTTTCCGATCTCAATTCAAGATCAAAGAGCTTGGCGGTATGTACCAGGTTCGGTCGCTACGCAACAACTCGGCATTGAAATATTTGAAAAACTTATTCCCATATTTATTTAGCCATACCCATAGGTATACAAGTCTGGTCGCCCAGTTGAAGAATGCGCGCGCGAGCAAACGGCAAACAAACACAGCCGGACTGGGCGATCAGCCATAAATTTCAGTTGTCGACAAATTGCCTACCAGTTCAGTGCAGCAATGTGGAATTTGGTGTGATTCAGGTAATTTTAATTTATTATAGGCACCTTCCATCAATCATTCATATTACAATTGCGAAAGGGGGAAATAAGAGGGACGTTTTGCTTAATAATATTATTACAACGTGGCATTTTGGAGACCTTTTGAAACAGGACAAAACGAAACACCGCCAGACAATATTGAATTAGAAGAACCGGTTGTTGAGGAAACCAATTTAGAATTTAAAAATAATGATTTATGTTCAATGTCAGCATCTCATTTTAAATATTTATGATTGTTTAAAAAAGGAAGAAAATGAAAACCAGACAATGAAATTACAAATAGAATCCACATATTAACTAAAGTTTCAATGTCCACAATTTTTCGTGTTATTAAACAAGGTGCATTGCATAAAGCGGAAGCGAAACCAAAAATTTGAAAATATCGATGACATGTCAAGAGACGTAATTCGGCGGACAATTTATAATTTACATAAAGAAAATTGAGGACATAAATAATTAAAATATGTTGTTGGCCAAATGCATATAATAGAAAATTTCTACACATTATATACGAATTTTTTATTATTTTTTACCTTTAGCAGAAAACTTTTTTAGGGACGTCCATGATACTCATTAAATTTTATTGCTAGGCGTTTTTATACATGTTCAACTGACTTCGGAAAGACATACAAGACAAATCATGTATTTACATTTTTAGGTCAACTCCTAAAAGTAATCCATTTTTGTGGCAATGACTGTTACATCAAAATTGACGAATAAAATGGTTAGAAACTGAAAACTTGAAACTGCAGGTACATACAATAATAGTAGTAGTACATAATGTGCTAGACAAAGGAACTAACGGAATCTCTTTTTAACACGTAGACATGTTAAAAATAAACCTATTAAAACTTTAACCACACAAAATACGAATAGGTTTGTGCTTAAAAAGAAAAGTTAATAATTGTTCCACGGATAGAAAACGCATAGAGAATATTCGAATTAAGAAGAGATGGCCTTATAAGAATGCGTTTCCTATTTTTATATATCTCTTGAAAAAGGAAAGCCCTAAAAACGATCAAATCAATATTTGGAAATTTTGTTTTTTTTTTCAAAAAATTTCCCAAACATTCAATTTCTTTTCGAACTTTCCTCAATTTTTCCCTCTCTCCCCCTCTGTTATCGCGAATGTGCTTAGTCGCAATCGCAATCAACCGCCATTTTAGGACAACACACTACAGGTATCCGCAACAAATTTCAAACAAACTTGCATAGGTAGAATATGAAAAATATTTTTAACTCACAGGATATGGTTCATATTATTTTTAAAAATGTTAAACACAAAATGACAATTGTCAAATTGACATTTTAGTGTACTTGGGAACAATCGCGGTTACGGGATCACCCCCCCCCCCTGCCCGCTAACCTTTTCTGTTTCAGAGACAGCCAGGATCAAGAAACGAAGACAACGACACACACACACACACACATACACACCCCCCATACCCTCCTTAACCCTCCCCTCCCGCGCTAGCCTAAGGGCCACCTTAGCAAAGCGCATCCCAGGCTGCATAGCCGCACTACCCTACCCAACCATACCACACATAAACATGACACTACCCCCGGGGTTTACACAGACGAGCCGGCGAAGCAAGAAGAGCGCCAGAAGAAAGGGCCCTAGCCGGCGGGGCCCAGCCAGGACAAAAGGAGGTCCCACAAAGCGCCTACACCGGCCGCATTTGCGGTCGGGGTAGACGACGGATGGGGCCCACCTACGAAGGCTGTCCAGGCCTACACGAGATGATGCAGGATAAAGAGGGATAATCCCCCTCGATCCCAAATCATTGAGGCCAATTTCTAGCCATAGAATAATGGCGGGTTACGGGATCTGGTCAATTCAAATTAGTAGTCCAATATTCTGGCTGACCGATCTGGAGCAGCATCATAGTAAAAATCGTGTCCGATCGGCATTTTTAGATCGATCGGGCAATGAACCACATGTTTGATTGACGCTCTCACGGCAAAGAAATACATAAATAACCAATCATTTTCCGAAATTTAACATGCATGACGGTCTTAACTCTAAACTTGGATCCACATGCATGCGTGATCACGGATCCTTTATAATCACGTGAACATCAACATCCAATTGTGCATCAGTAAAGCGTCTTGACACTCCGTCAAGGTCAAAACGGATTGGATGTTGATGGTCACGTGGTTACAAAGGATCCGTGATCACACTTCATGTGGATCCAGGCTTAGTATCCACAAAAAAATTTATGAGCTGAAATAAATATAAAAAGAGGAAATCGACATTTTGGGAAAAGATCTTGCTTGGGTAAAAAAATTGTATAAGTGCCTTTTTCATATAAAATGTTAAAAATTTCATTAGTTCAGTTCAGAATTAAACTGAAAACAACAGTGCATGCAAAGGGTGGCCTTTAACTTTCTTCGTCGAATTAACCTTTGTTGTAGAAACAACGGTGGTCATTTTGAAGTTTTTTATAATAAGTTATACTAACGTAATAACCTCAACTTTGTTACTTTTTTCGCCCGCATTTTTTATTGTATTTGATTGTTTTTACGAATTATTTCAATAAAATTAGGCACGCTGTAAATAACTCTAATTCGCCATCTGATGTGAAATGAAGTAACAGGTGATATATATCTTATCGTAGTAAACATTCATTAAGACTTGACAGGTACAATGACTTAAAAGATCAAACTGACATTACAATAAACCTACAAAATTAGTGGCTACTAGCACTTTGTTAAGTATTTTGTAATATAGCAAGATAATGGAGACGTTTAAAAAATATTTTTTTGTGCCCAAACCGCGCTCATTTAATCAAAATTCTGTAAGAGTCCCAAAAACTTCCAAATGGTATCACCTACCAAATAAAAAATAGTTGTCATTATTGGTCGAAAGAGGAAAAAGTTATGAACGGATATTATCACCATACATCAATTTTGTAGGAGTTGTGAGTTTTAAAAAACACTCTGTATAACATCAAAATTTGTAGATTGAAAGCGAAAGTCCACACCCCAAAAATAATCAAAATCGATTAATCCATATTCGACTTATTTACAAAATTCAAAAAATATTTATATAACTTTGAGGCCATCTAGCGGCCAAACGAAGCGATTTCGGATATAGGTGATCTGCCTATTTTGAATCCAAGAATCTGTAGTTTTCCGTTGTACACGTTATTCTGGGACATCCGGTATATCCATTTCTATTTTCAATTTACATATCTCTAATGTCATAAGTTGTTATAAAATTATTTTTATCTACATCCAACAAAAAAATTCAATGAACATTTACTTTAAAGAAAATATTTCATATTCACCAATTTTTTAATAGGGACAGATTAAAATAATTTTAAAATGACTAAAATTACAATTCGGAACAAAAATAGAGATAGAAGAATCCATAATTAGCCAACATGTATATTTAGTAACTATTTCTAACTCCACAATAATTATATGATAAAATAAAATCGCAGTGCTGTAACTGAAAATAATAGTACACAGTGCCTACATTGAAAAAACACATCAAGTTCTGAAAAAGATGCAGATTCAAGAAACGAAAACAGTGCCCAACTACCATCAAATTAAAAAACTGAGCTATATTAAATTTTACGTTTTATACAAAAAATCCACGATTGAAATAAAATTACTTTAATTCATCTTGAACTGAAGATTTAAAAAATTGTGTTACCTACCTATACCAATCTTTGTTGAAAATAAAATGCAGATTGTGTAGGTAATAATAAAAAAAGCATATCATTTAAAATAATGTTTTATTGGAATATCAATATACAATTTATAAAACACTTGTAAGAAATATACAACTAACCTACATTTTATTTACAACTGTATAGTTACATACAAATAAACTAAATATCATTTTGTCTACCACTACGATGCAAAATACTTTTTTGTAACTTATTGAATTATTGGGGAATATTTAAATGATTATTTTTTACAAAAAAATGGTCTTAACAATAATTAAAAAATTACTTTTTAAACACTAATTTTTCTACAATATTTAATTTTATTTATTTAAATAATCATTTTCTTGCTCAACCTTTCAACAATAAAAAAGAAATCTATTGAATATTACAAGTAGAAGTATGGATTGCTCATCAATTTTCTAGTATAAATAAAACTATTTCAATGCCGTATGGAAAATACTTCCTAAATTGAAAACAGTCTAGCAGATACTGATTCGAATAAAAAAAGGAATGTGATTAATCTTGTTTTAAATTCAAGTCAGATTTTGATACATATTTTGATTCTATTATTAAATTCCCTTCATCATCATATTCTGGCTCATGATAAGCTATATATACATATCCAACAATTATCATATTAACAGTTAATACCGCTGCGATTACAGACCAAACTGTATTTGCATACCCTTCAATGCCAAAATAGTCTTTAAGCATATATTTCACACCGAAAAAAGAACCGAAAGGTAATGAGAACATTAAAAAACTAAAGAATAACAGTAGTCCTAAGGCTTTAACAGCTCGTTGGGTGTGAACTGGTAATAAAGGAGCACTTGACATCACAACATCATTATCCTCAACCATGGCAAGGTCTGTAAATAACAAATTAAATTACCTTTATTGTCTGGGTCGCTCTTTTCGAAAACTGTAGGAATGTCACTTATATGAGCCTTAAAAATTTGTTCATAGGCTAACACAGTTTTCTCCGGCTTACTATTGCCAGGTAAAGATTTTTTACCCCATAATAATTCTACAACTAGAATTTTAGTTAGAAAAGGATCAGACCGAGGCTCTTTAATTAAAAGTTGAGATCTCTTTAACAGATTTTCTATTTCATCATCCCTTTGAAATAAAGTGGCTACTAAAGCATAAATAGCTTTAATATTCTACAAAATATATTAACATTGAAGAATACATTATTAAATTCTAACTTAACCTCAATCTACTCACGGGATGTTTAGATCGATTTTCATACACCAATTGTTTTATACTGCCTGCACCTTCTTTTACATTTTTTGCAACTTTTGCAGCAATTTTATACAAACGAGGAACTTTAACAGAATGTTTAAACATAATCAATTACCTTATTTTCTCTATACCACAAATCACAATACTTCTTTCCCTGTTTTTCTATCTTCTATACAATCTATGTTCTATACTAATTGAATTGTAAAGCAAGAGTATTTCAGTGATTAAAACTAACAATTAAAAATTACTCCATTACCACAGAATTAAAAGCCTATTTTGTATCTGTGCCATTACTATTATTGGTTGGTTTATAAAAAAGTATTAGTCTTAGTATTAACCTTAATCTTAGTCCTAATAAGTTAAATGTACAGAATGTAATGTATCGGTTTATAAAAATCCCTAGTCGTAAGGAGGTCTTAAGACATGACCTTGAAAGTTCGCATCTTTTAATTTTTCTAGGATTAAGACTAAGATCTGAGAAGTGCGCATGCACAAGTATTGCATTTCGTAGCATAGTGGTCTCCTGTCTTTGTCTATGGTGGTCGCCATTACGCCATTACCATAGTAATAGGTTATATTTTTCTTTTCACTCACCAACAAAACAAATAAAATAACATTACCACAGAATAATAAACAAGTATTATGCTGTGATATTACTAGCCATGCGCGTAGTCGAATCGCTCATTGGTTAATCTTAATAAAATTAGGACCACACATTGTTTTTATAAACGTGTACCTATTCTTAGGACTAATACTAAGATTAGTGTAAAGGTTAATACTAAGACTAAGACTAAGTTAGGACTAATACTTTTTTATAAACCAACCAT